GATCTTTTTTTTCCCTTCCTATGTGGATAAATAAAAGTCTTATTAGGACCAGCCCACTTTAGCCCATAACCCAAATATTATGTGGCATATATAAGGCTTATTTAGTCTTATTTTCAGTAACACAAGAGAGAAAAAATCAAGAGAGATTCGTTTTAGAGATTGAGAGGAAAAGAGAAAAATCCCGTTTTTGCTTTTGGAAATTTTCTGCTCAGGCAGTCCGCTTCAGACAGAGTTTACCGCTTCGTTAACCGTTGGATCGTTCTCAAATTTGAAAGGGGAGTTTTCAGCATCTGGTTCTTGCAATTCAACGGTGGAGATCGGATTTGAAGGTCTGTAGCTTCTGATTGAGGGCGTGAACAGTAGCGCGTTTTTGGGTGAAATCTCTTCTTTAATTCTCTAGTTTTGGTGCAATCTTGATTTGTTGTTGCTCGTTGTTTGGCGCTTGTTCTGTGGCCAATTTTGGAGACAATTTTGTAACTCTTGGTGTTTATAGTGGAGCTTTTGGTCCTGTGGTTTTTTACTCTTCACATCGAAGGGTTTTCCACGTAAATTGTTGTGTCTTGTGTGATTGGTTTATTCTTATCTTGTTGCTTTAGTTTTGTTGATATACTTGCTGTCCATTCTTCATATTGCTTGATTGGTTTGTCTTCTCTTGGTTCAAATTAAAAGGGAAAGTTAAGATTTGAGTATTATTCCGCTGCTATCCTATCTGACATTCTTGTTAGTGCATTGCCTTTCCCAACAAATAACCCCAACAGTTAGCTTCGGAATGTCAAGTTTGGTCTAGATTGACCCTTCTTTTGTGTCTGGAGGTTTTCGATATCTTTCCGAGCCCTTTTGTGGGTTTTGACTTAAAATGACTTTTGGAAGTGGGACCCACTTTTTTATCGAAATGACCTCTGATGGAAATTTCGACTGCGCCGTTGAGTCTGGAATATCGAATTTGGTATGGTTGCATATCTCGTTTTGCGTGCACGGGGTTCCGAACGAGATCGGAGCACCCCGTCGGAGTTTTTAGTTTTTGAAAAAGTTGCAGAAATATCTGCTATTTATTGCAGAAAAATCAGCCAACTTTCCCAAACTTCAAATCCTCATAACTCCCTCATCTCTCAATCGATTTGGGCGATTCAAAAGGCAAAGTTGTGAGATTTTTCGAGGACAACGTGTTAGTGAGCTCGGATAGTGATTTGGAGTCCCCGTTTGCAGTAATTTTTGAAAAATACCTACTACCACACCCTTTTTGTGAGCTTAATTTTGGAAATT